ACTACAGATCACGTGGTGTTTTGTCAACCAATAGCGTGAACGCTTCAAATGAGCGCGTCCTTTTAATGTTTCTCACTTTCTTCGCAAATTCCAGCGTGTTTCAGGAAGCTTTTAGTACTTTTGAGAATCCATTCCAGAGTAAGTGTAGCAATGACATGAGCAGTGTAGCATGACATGTTTGCACGTGTTTGGAGTTAACTAACATGTACGCTTATATTTAAACACACATTTAAAAGATTTAAAATGGAACGAAAAAGCTTTAAAGAATACTCAGAAGTCGCTATAGTGGAAAGAGGATAGCTTAAAGCTCATGAAATCTGCTTCAAGGAACTCCATGTTTTTTATTTCAATGCGGGGTGATATAATTTTCATCTTCGAAGAAGCGGGGTTTTCAATAATTTTCAAGCTGCAGAGGACATTACGGTAAAAGAAATAACATTTCAATGGGAATTTATGTTGATATCAATTTCTCATTGACTCTTTCTTTGTGTTTTCGTTCGTTTTGGGGCATGAATGGCTTAATTTCGAGAACAATTGAAACATTACAGTTATGAGTGCAGAAGCAAATTTATTGTTGGCCCGTAGGGAAAATGGTCAACTCAACTGGCTAGCAGTCCTATATTCTCAGTAAATCTCGCAGTCCACTCAATGGCAAAGAACAAATACTGAAAACTCGATATTATTTCTATCAACGCAAAGGTAAGATAATCTTGTACAAAAAAGCTTTTTGGTTTCATCATAACGTCGACAAGAAGTGAAGTGAAGTGTATTTCAGCTCCAGAAGGGAACTAACGCGCGCGTGGAGACTTTTCCCGCCGGTTTTCCAAGGAGGCCGCATGAAAGGTCAAGATGTTATGACGTCAAACGTCGCCTGTCACGCCATGCTTTGGATAGAAAATAGTAACGAACATCCCATAATACATGTATAGAAATCCCACAAAACCGGCTGGTTTGATCAGGATCACGACTTATGATAGTTCAGAACGGCTGAATTTTCTCGATTTGTGAAATTTACTGAGAATATGGGACTGCTGGCCATTTAGTGTTTTGAAAACCTTGACCGGCAGTCGAGCTGAAAAAAGTTCCAAGTGTCACACTTTAGAGCCCAGCGTAAACCAAACACTAGACTTGAGATCTATAAAGCATTTCAGGATCGCTTGACTTGTCTTAATCGACATACGATAGTTTAGATTAGCTAGCGTCTTCCGATTTTGTGAAATTTACGGAATATGGGACTGCCGGTCATTTAGTGTTTTTAACACCTTGACCGGTTACCAACCATTTTGTAGCCTGCGAAGCGCAGACGCATTTCCGGTCGTCGCTTCTTCGCAGGCTAACCATTTTGCCGCAGCGAAAATTTAGGAGCGAGCACAATGGAGGAAGGTAAGCTGTTTCTTTCTGTAACTGTATTATGTTGCCACGATTATTTAAATCTTTTTAGTAGAAGAAGCTTTTTCAGGTTAAGTGACTTAAAATAAACCCTTTTCGGCTTCCTACAACGGCTACGAGAGAGACATTTCCTCAATTTCCTTGATTGTTGATGATCGTCTTTGGTTTCACTCTGTAATTCAAACCGGTGACTTGCCGTCATTTCTTGAAATCTTACAGATACATGTAAAAATATAAATAATCGTGGCAGTATAATACAGTTACAGAAAGAAACAGCTTACCTTCCTCCATCGTGTTCGCTCCTGCGTGAAAGCGGCGCAGCGAAAAGCACGCGAAACTGCTTTTACATCTGCCGGTAAACATGAGCCCGTGATTTTCTCATTTCCTACCCATGACCCTTGCAGGTACACATCAGTGCACATATGATGGTGATGCACAGTGCACATAATGAGAGGAAGCAGGAAACTATAGTAGAAATTTTAGTAGAAAATTATGGTGCAAGTAAAAAAAATAACACTCAGTCTGCACGGTCTGCACAGTCTGCAGTCTGCAGTCTGCATGGTCTGCGTTTCAACATGACCGCCGAATTTGCATATGTCAAAAGGGTAATTTGAAACCTGCATACAAACTTGCGCCGGTTTCTTTGAGTTTCGCTCGCCAAATTAAATCAAGATGAAGCTTTTCCAAACAGTCTGTGCCTCATGCTTCATACTGGTTCTTAGACTGTTCGCATTTTTAGCACTGTTCCAGAAATGAACAATTATTGGAATTTTAATTCGGCCAGTGAAAGGAAGCGACATGCGGAATGTAAACAATAATCCGTAGATTAAATATATTTCGCTCAATAATTTGAATGAAGCGTTCTTGAGAATTTAGGCGCCGCTTTTCATTACGTGTTGAAACATACTGACATACAGAACATACAGAAGCGTCCATAGCTGACTTCTGACGGATTTCAGCATGTGAAATGTTGTATCGAATCGACTTTGTATCAAAACGACCGAACTCCTTTTGAAAGCAAGCTACATCTCCATATTAGGAGCATTCCTTGTTTACATTGTCCAATCAACAATCGAGTTTTGATTCGAACATTTTCAAAAATGAATGCATTATTTGAAACGACTAACGGGCAATCTAGGGGGGTATGCTTGACCTGGCTCGACTGTAACACGTTTCACCCCGTTTTTAATTTGAAGTTAGGTAGAAAATGATTGAGCAAGGCTGTGCTCTAACAAAAATTACTGGGCAACAAGAGAATCTAAACCATGAAATCCTGGTCGCCCAGCACTAAAGCTTATATGAAAAATGTAAGTTTATCTGGTCGCCCAAAGGCAAAAGTTAGTCGCCTGAGGCCCCCGGGCGCCCTTAGAGCACAGCCCTGTTGAGTGTGGGGTTTGAATATTTTTAGGAATTATACATTTTCCTAAAATAAAATCTACCAGTACCCAGAAAAAAGCTTTAATCGGTGAACAAGTCTAACACACAAATATTTTGTTATACAGAGATTTGGTACCTTGTTAAATATGAAGACGATGAAAATTTAAGAGTGCTTGCTGAAGATGAAATTCGCCATATCTTCCCTGATGAAGAAGAAGCTGGCAATGAAATGCAAATTGGAGATGTCGTTAGTGCTCTATGGATCCCCAATGGCCAATACTACGATGCCAAGATACTTATGAAAGGAGGTGAGTAAATTGTGTTTGCTGTTAATGTAAACCATCTCTTAACAGGACATAGATTAAATTTAGAGTTTGGTTATTTAAATTTGTAGTTATGTCGCAAGTGTGAACCAGGCTCAACTGACCATGACAAACCCACAATAGAAAAAACTTTTGTGAGTGCAGGGAAACCAATTAAAAAAATTACAACAAAGGTTGCTACAAGACAGGTTGATATGGCATGATAAATATTCCTATCTGTTATCAAATGTCAAGATCAGGTTGAGTGGCAGAATTGTGTTTAATTTGTTATCATCAAAATACATCTTTACAGGGGATAAAAATGAGCTTATGAGAGAGAGGTTGAGGCAAGAAAAAGCAAAAACAAATGGAGGCAAGGAAAGAGAAGCACAGCAGAAAAGAAAAAGTCAGGCGGAGAGTACAGGTGGCCAGAAAAAGAAGAAAACAACACAGAAACAAACAGAGAGTACTAAAGAGAAAGAGCAGAAGGCAAAAGACAAGGAAGAGAAACAAAAGAAAAAAGATCAAGATCAAGAAAGACAAAAATTCTTGTTGGAAGCGAGAAAAGCCCAGGCAGCATCCCGATGGGGTGCAAATGATGAGGTTACCAAAAGAAACCCTGCCAATGCAGCCTTCACACCTCAACCAATTCGCCAAACAGGTTCCCACTCTTCTACACCATTGACTCCAGCTAACACAACTTTATCATCGGACAGAACCGCAAACACTTCTGAATCAACACCACAAGAATCTCCACCAGTCAACCTTACCTTGCTAGCAAAACGTAACATGCCTACAAAAACAACAGCCAGTTCAAAGTCAAAAGGTACCTGTGAGCCAAGGAGGGGCCTTCATTTTCAAAGCGCCATTGCAGACAGTAGCGATGAAGAAATGGATGAGGAGGTGGAAATCATCCATGAGGAGAATGACATTGATGTTTCCAGTAGTAATTGCTGCAAAGAACAGAGGCTGGAAACAAAGGCCTTAAGAAAGCGGTTAGAGAAAGTCCACAAGAGACTCAGTATAGCATGTAAGTTTCTATTATGATGTATTACTTTCCATACACAGTGTCACAACTTGAAAAAATTGGCAAACATTTTCAAGTTGTAATCCATTTCCACCCTTGCAGTCTGCAGCAACAGTAAACGGTCTCAGTGCAGTAATATAGTCTTTGGTAGCAAAACAACACTATTATTTTTGGGGCTTCCAATGATGTGAAGACATTTCAGCTTTTTGAACTGCTACTAAAATAGTATGACACTGCCCCTTTAATGGAAACCAATACAAAATAGTATGACACAATTTTCAAACGAGTACTCCTGATGTGTAGCATATTCAGGTATACTCTTAAACTGTAATCTGCTGTAAAATAGCATGACCAGTTTCAACAAAACTAATTTATTTTTATTTTCTTTAATGTCACTGACAGTAAAAGCAAAGACAACTGCAGAAGTGGTGAACAGCCGACCTGGAGCTGGTATTCTTGACAATGCATTGGCTGCAGAATACAAGGTACAAAACACTTACAAATATAAAAATTATCTTAATTGTTTAACACTGAAAAACAAATCAGCTTTCCGCCCTGTGTACTGTGACATTGGTTTAAAAAGTGAGCAAACTTGAACTTAACTACTGACATTGCTGTCAATTCAAAGACTTAAATTCAAAGATTAATAAGAATGCACACAGTATCAAGCTTGGTCAAATGTCTTGTTCTTTTAAGTGTTCTTGTTTAAAAGTGTGTAGCCCAACATATCACCAGTGTTCGTAGCATTGTATGGGCCAGAGGAAAGTGTACAGTGCCTGAATTAAGCAGCACAGGACTGCAAACACTATGCAATAAGTTGGTGTTCCTTTTAAGCCGTAGTATGAGGTTCTATTGCTTTTTAAGTTTTTTCCTTCAAAAAAGATTTTTTTGAGTAGTTTTGGCATTATTTGAACAACTTCCATGGCATGTTTTAGCTGGCCAGTCAATGACCATACCACCTCTTACAATTCCTGATTGTCCTGTCAGACCAAGATATGCAGAAATAACAGAGAAGATACGTATTATCTAACAAAGCTGTCAATTGAAAAATTAATAAAAACATTGTCAAGTGGCATATATACATGTAATGTCTAACTTCTGTCTTTAATATTTCCAGATGGTAGAAATAATGGAGGGGTCAGGAGTCTTTTGGTACCCTCACCAGCGAGCATACTGCTCAGCGTTCAAGTCGTGGCCAGCATATATCAATGCTGCCATTGATATATTCTTCAACAAAGAAACACTTGCTGTTTCAAATGCAAGAGGAAATGAAAGAAAAACCAAGAATGGTGACATCAACAAGTCATTGACTCCAATGATCATTGATGCCCTCATTGGTAAGTTAATATGCTCTGTTTCAGTTTTATTCAGAAAACCATTAGGTTCCCAAAATAACATTCCCCAAAACCAGTGATTTAATTTGGCTGTTGTTAAGCTTGGGTTAGGTTTCTTAATCCTAAAGTAACATACAACTACACGGGTCATTAGTATTAGAACTCTAAGGTATACTTTATATTAAAAATAAAACTAAATTAATGACATCTATTAAGTTCATTATCAGAACTTAAAATGGTGTATGTCTTATTTTATTGAACACTTTACCAATATATAAAAACTGGCTCACAACATTAACATGACTTTAAACTAATAAATTTTCAATTTTTTTTTCAGGAGAAGTTTGTTCAAAGTTTGCCAAGGACTCTCCTGTTCCGAGTCAAATTATTCAGAAAATAAATATGAAATGCGTGGAGGCGAGGCGGCCACAAAGAATAAGAGTTCCACTTACAACAAAAGAAAAAAACAGTTCTGATGTGCCAGTTTGAAAGTTTATTAACTTACAGGATATGTCAAGCTTGTACAGTTTGTAGATTTTTCTAAGGATTTTATCATCATGTTTCATTATAATTCTTGAGTTTCAAGAGATGTCAACAATTAAAAGTTTTGACTATATTGACTATATTGTTGAGATGTCAATGATTGATAGTTAATTTTCCTGCATTATGAAAGTAATATTGGTATGGGGGCTAGGCTGTCGATGAACCATGGGTTCACCTGTACATGTTTCACTAAAGTAGAGCTAGTTGTATCCCATAGGTTTCCCATAGTGGTGGAGTCAATCTTGGATCAGCGGTATTGGTATGGGGCGCTAAAATCAAAAGTACCCATAGCATTCCCATAACAGATGTCAGTTTTCCCGAATGCTGTGGGAATGATATGGTACAATTACCAATCCCAAGGAACGGGATTGGTATGGGACTGTCCGATACCAATCCTGGGATATATGCTATGGGGAATGTATGGAACTTTACGAAAAACATAGCAATCCCATAGAGACAGGTCAGTCGTCATATGGGATTGGTATGGGACTATCCCATATCATTTCCATACCAGATCCTATGGGGAATATATGGAACTTTACGAAATACGTAGCAATCCCATAGGGAAAGACAATAAAATGGGGCTAAATTAAAACAGACACTATTTATGGGTTTGGTATGGGAGGCAATAACCCATATCAAAGCCATATAATGCCCACATATGGGCCACAGGTTATCCAATACCATTTTGATATTTGGACCATATATGTCCCATATCACTAGCTATGGTAAGGGTAGTTCTTATGTGTTCTTCATCGTGCGTCTCAGTGTTTTTAAAATCCCTTGTGGATCTTTGCATCTCTGGGTAACTTTTCTTGCTGAAACTTCGAAAGACTTGGAAATAATTCTCATAACAACTTTCGTAACAAGTTTCATTATAGTAATAATAATAATAATAATAATAATAACTGTTTATTCACAAATCGAAATCGAAAAAGTGAAAAGGAGATAAAAGAGGTTATCCCTTTCTAGTTTATCTCCTGATAATAAAATACATTAAGAAATAAATTATTTACAACTGTTTAAAATAGTAACTATATATGTATATAAAACATCACACAGTAAAAGAACTTAGTGTTCACTAGAAAAATCTATAAGATAACGTCTCAGTCTGTTCTTGAAAATATTCAAATTCTCCGCCTCAGCAACTTCCTTTGGGAGATTGTTCCACTTATCTATTATGCGTATAAAAAAGAATGTTTAAAACTATTTAAAGTTGCTGATGTAAGCTTAAGTTTACAACGATGGTTGGCTCTTAAGGGCCGAAAATCATGTGCAAATGTAAAAAAAGCCGAGGGATCAAGTCCATTGAGTCTATTTATTGTCTTATAACACTCGATGAGCGACGAAAATAATCTTCTTTGTTCAAGTGATGGCCATTTAAGGAGCTTTAGGCGTTCTTTGTAAGGCATGTCTTGCCCAACATTTCCAAGGGCGCATTTAGATCCTCTACGTTGTACTTTCTCCAAGGTGTTTAAGTCTTTTTTAAGGTGCGGACACCAAACTGGAGAGTAGTACTTGAGTATCA